ATGAGGTCTCACCAAGTTGCCCGGGTGGGTCTCAAACCCGCAGGCTCAGGCAATCCACTCTCCTCAGTCTCCCAAAGCACTGGGATTACAGGCTGAGCCAGGGAGCCTGGCCAACAAGGCTCTTTTTATGGCACACCAGAGGGCAAATGGAACCACGTGGAGTGACTTCAGGCCTGGGTTTAGAAGTAGCACGCCATTTCTGAGTAAGTCACATGGCCACGCCCAAAGTGGTGTGATGAAGTAGAGCCGATCAATTCACTGCATCAGAATCAATTGAGAATGGGTTTTAGGAGTAAAATATCCCGTCCACAGTATCCCTTTTGCCACTTTCGTATTGTCTACTGGGCCTTGTTAGAAAGCATTTACTCTTGGGTTTGTGATTGTTCTTGTTAACTCATCTTCTTTCCTAAAAGAGGAAACAAGGTAGTGGGAAATACAGGTATTGTAGACAGAAAAACTGAAGTCCAGATCCTGTTTCGTCACTTGAATGTCGTGCGATCCTGGCTGCACAACATGTAAGCTCTTTAAGCCATACCTGCTGCGTCAAGAACCTAGCATGACAAGTGACACATGGTTTGCACTCAATAACATGTTAATGGTAAACACAGCAATAGTAAGAATGTCGGAGTGGCGTTGTAAAAAATAAAAATAAAAAGCTGAGCCTGTGATTGAATCCTGGCTCTGCTAATTCACTGTGGACATGAAGGCATAAAATGACTCCCTGCCATTCCCAATCCAGCTCTGAAATTCTGTGCCAAAGACCAGGTGATCTCTGGTCCATTGTGGTGACTGGAGGAATAAGATAATTTCCTATCGAGAGTTTATTCAGCTTTATTCTCTTCAGTTTCTTTCTCATTCAAACTGATGACCATGTAGCCATATATTGTACCAAATTAATACCCTCTCAGAACCCCATATTTAAGTTAATAAGTGAACCCTGAATCATGTCTGAGTTATAACGTAAGCCACGATAATTCTGGCAGATGGAACTTTTTTTTTTTTTTGGCATGGTAATCTTGATTAGTTTTCCCATTCGTGAAATGAAGAGAAGCATTTTGTTTAATACCCCATTAGACTGATGGTGCAGTCCAAAAGTAATAGTGAATTTAAAATAATTTTATAAAAATATTAATTAGAATGCTCATCCAGCTTCTGTGACAGAGGCAAAAAATAACAGCGGCTTAAACAAGATAGAAATTCACATTTCTTTCCCATAACAGTATGAACATGAGCAGTTCAGGATTGAAAATGGCAGCTCTAGGGTGATGGAGACCAAGACTTTTTTATTTTGTGGTCCTGCAACATTAACTACAACATTCTAGCCAGTAGGAAGAAGAAAAGGGGAAGAGAGAGCATGTTGTTTCTTCTTAAGGGCACTACCTGAAAGTTGTATATATATCATTTTTTCTTACATTCCATTGGCCACTACTTAGTCACATGGCCACACCTGTGTGCACAGGAGTCTGGGAGATGTAGACTTTATCTAGCTGGTAATGTGCCCAGTTATCCCTTCTGTAACTGTAGATGCAGAGGAGAATAGATATCGGGGGTAGAATCAGTCTCCAGCATGGAAATATAAAAGCAAAACTAATTAGTTTATGCCAGGTACTTGGCAAAGTCCTGAAGATGACCCTACTTGCATTGTGACTGGGTTTTTCCCACCTACCGGAATTTTGGATGGAGCCTCAATTTCTTGATTTAGAAACCAAAGCCCCCTTGCTTCTGAGTTCATCATGCTTTGTTCTCCCCTTCAGCATCTAGGATGACTCTGTTTTTCTTCCCCTAAACACACCTAGAATGTTGCTCTTTCAGTTTCCACAAGAAATCCTATTTCTTTGAATGCTTTGGGATTATTTGTATGGACTTTGCTTACAATAAGGGGAGCGTCAGGGGAAAGGTAATTCTTTTCCTTTTCTTGGATCAAACAGTTCTGCCCATATCCAGGTTCCTTGGTTTGTGGGTGGCTATTTGCCTTTTAAAACTACTTCTTTTTTCTTTTTTTTAAACTTAATTTAATTTTAAAGATATGGGGTAAAATTCAGGGTGAGATGTACAAGTGACCATCATACAGGTAAAGTTTGGGCCTCCCTTTGGTTCCCACTTTGCCTGGTTTGAGATCAGGCACCCGTGTTGATGTTGTGTCCACCCCCACCCACCCCGGCAGTATCCCGCTACTGCCAACCCCTTTCTTATAAACTTCTGAACACCTGTTAGGTCTGTCTCTCTGTAACAGAGAGAACATCAGAGCTGCGTGGAGCACTTTCTTCTGACATCTAGTGGCCGTGGAGGGGCAGTGCTCGTGGCTGTGAGTACATGGAGAGCGGGGAAGCGATGGGAAAGCGGGTAGTGGGTGAGCGCGGAAACCTGGCCATCGTCAGGCCCGGTGTGTATTCTCGGCACTGTGCCAGAGCTTTGCAGGTGGACTGCCTTTGCCTGTGGCCCAGGATCTAGCGCCGTCCTTCACGAGTTGACAAACATGGGCAGGTGACTTGGGGTGTTAATAATGCCTGCAGGGTGAGGGTGAAATGCGTGAAAAGTATTGTGACACTGTATGACATGAAGTTATCTATGATTTTTTTCCTCTTTTCACTTTAGATTTTTTATACTAACCCTATTGGGCATACCCCGGAGGAACTCAACTCATTCTACAAAAAAGATACCTGCACACGTATGTTTGTTGCAGCTCTATTCACAGTAGCAAAAACGTGGAACCAACCGTGTTGCCTATCGAAGCTGGACTGGATTTTAAAAATGTGGTACATATATGCAGTGGAATATTATGCAACCGTAAAAAAGGACAAACATACGGACTTTGCAATAACTTGGATGGATTTAGCGTCGATCATGCTCAGTGATCTATCACAGAAACAAAGAACAGAGTCTTATATGTTCTCACTCATAAGCGGACCTTGAGCAATTATAATACTATAAGAAAGGGATTGGCAGGAGTGGGAAACTATCAGGGGAGGGGGTAGGATTGGCAGTTGAGGGAAACTGCTAGGCGAGGGAGGGGCACACCTCAACAAGGGTACCTGCGTAATCAATATTTATATACCTAACCCTGAATTTTATCCCACATCTTTATAGTTAAAAAAATGTGTGGGGTCCAATTCAGGGTTAGGTATACAAATGTTCATTATGCAGGTACCCTTGTTGATGAGGTATGCCCTCTCTTCCCCTGACAGTTTCCCCCTACTGCCAATCACTTTCTTATAGTATTATGATAATTGTTCAGGGTCTGCTTTTGAGTGAGAACATGTGGTACTCAGTTATTTGTTTCTGTGATACATCACTCAGTATTATAGACTCTAAGTCCATCCAAGTTGCTGCAAAGTTCATATGTTTGTCCTTCTTTATGGCTGTATAGTATTCCATTGTGTGTATGTACCACTTTTTTCTAATCCAATCCACTTTCGATGGGTAGCACAGTTGGTTCCATGCTTTTGCTATTGTGAGTAATGCTGCAATGATCAAGCATGCGCAGGTATCTTTTTCATACAGCAGTTTGAGTTCCTCTGGGTATATTCCCAGTAGGGGGATTGTGGGGTCATATGGAAGGACGATTTTTAGACCTTTTAGGAATTGCCACACTGGTCATCCTGACCAGAGTTAGGGGGATTGTGGGGTCATATGGAATGTCATTTTCTAGTTCTGTTAATAATCACCACTGTTTCCCATAGAAGTTGAACTAGTTTGCATTTCCACCAACAGTGTAGAAGCATTCCCTTTTCTCCACATCCTTGCCAGCGTCTGATGTCTTTGTTTTATTAATGATGGCCATAGGATGAATTCCATGTTTTCTAAGCCAAATATTAGAATGTGTGTTCTGTCGAGTATGTTTGTACCCATCAGGATGGGAAACAAAGACTATTTACAGTTGGATTGCTTAAGGATTATCTAAATTAGTTATCTGTTGCTTGTATAGCAATATTATCACAAACTTGGTGTCTTAAAGCAAGATGCATTTGTTATCTCATGGTTTCTGGGGGTCAGGAGAACACGTACAGTGTAGTTGGGGCCTCTGTAAGGTTGTAATCAAAGTGTCATCCTAGGCTGTGTTCTCATCTAGGCTTGACTGGGGAAGGTTGTACTTTCAAGCTCACGGGAGTGTTGGCAGCCCTTCCGTCCCTTGAAGTCTCCAGACTGAGGAAGCATTCGGTTGTTTGCTGGCTGTCAGTTGGAAGCCACTCTTAGTTTCTTGCCACTTGGCTTTTTCCTTGTGATAGCTCACAACATGGCAGCCGCCTTCTTCAAAGCCAGCAAGAGAGAGCAGCTCCTAGCAAGATGACGCTATGATCTATGTAATGTCATCGCACACATGGAACCAAGTGCATCCTGTCACTTTTGCCACGTTCTGTGAGTTAGAAGCAGGTTACAAGCCCTCACTCAAGGGGAGGGAATTAGACAAGGCTATGGACACCAGGAGGAAGCCGCCTTCGAGCCTGTCTGCCACATTGCCCTGGGACTGGCGTGCAGGCAGAGATAGGGCTTGCGACACTGAGTCCAGTGAGAGTGACTCAGGGCATGGCAGCTGTCAGGACTTGGGCACTTTCCTTGAGGCTCATGGAGCAGAGATGGCCCCCTCCTTTGGTCTTCTTGGGAGGACCTTTTGAAGGAGGTAAGATTTCAGGAGCTATTTGAATGACCGGAGAGAAGCAGTTCCGTAGACTTCGAAGGAAGGATGGTCTCGACAAGTAGGTTAGGAGGCACTAGAAAGGCAGAAGTGGGAAGACTGAACGTAACGCTCTTTAACAATGGTTCCCAGTGTAGTTTTAACTTGCATCTCGTTGAGGATTAGTGAAGCTGAACATTTTTTCATGTGTCTGTTGTCTTCTTTTGAGAAGTGTCTATTCATATCTTAGTAGGAAAGGGATTGAAAGCAGGAAACTGCGGGGAGGGGGTGGTGGATGGGAAGCTGGGATTGACAGTAGTCGATATCCACCTTGGGAAAAGGAGGCACACCTCATCAATAAGGGTACACGCACAATGAGCACTTGTATACCCAATCCTGAATTGTACCCCACAATTTCAAAATAAAAATTAAAAAAGAAAGAAATGAAAAGCTTAAAAAAAAAAAGGTTCTCAAATGCAGTCTCCTTGTATCAATGAACTATGCCATTCGTTGACTGTGAAGCGTAGCCCACGCAGGTGATTTTTTTTCTCTCCTCTTGCAGGTGTGGCAGTGTGGAGGGAGGATCGAGATCTTACCCTGTTCCCGGATTGCTCACGTAGAGAGACACCACAAGCCTTATGCCTTGGATCTGAGCCCTGCCTTGAGGCGCAATGCTCTGAGAGTGGCTGAAATCTGGATGGATGAGTACAAACATATGGTCTATTTGGCCTGGAACATACCTCTCCAGGTGTGCCTTGGGGTTGAACGGAAGCAGGGGAGAACAAACGAGGAGGTGGCAGTTATGGTGGAGAGCGGGGAGAGGATAAAACCAAAGTGCCACTCCAGCCCTAAAGAAGGAGGGTAAAGTCCTGATGGTGTGATAACAACAATGCTTGATACTCATGTAACAATACCGTACTGTGTTTCAGACACTGCTTTTAATATATTTATTTATTTTTATTTTATTTTATTTTATTTTTTAGAGACAGGGTCTAGCTTTGTCTCTGCCCGGAGTACAGTGGTACGATCACAGTTCACTGTGGCCTTGAACTTGAACTTCTGGGATCAAGTGATCCTCCTGCCTTGGCCTTCCAAGCAGCTGGGACTACAGGTGTGAGCCACCACACTTGGCTAATTTTTAATTTTTTTATAGGGATGGGGTCTTGCTATGTTGCCCAAGCTTGTCTCAAACTCCTGGCCTCAAGGGATCCTTCCACCTCCCTCTAGAGAAATGAGGCCTTGGCCTCCTAGAGAAATGAGATTACAGGCGTGAGCCACCAGAGCCTAGCCTGATTTATATAATAATTAATTTATTGGAAGGCTGAGGCGGAAGGATCGCCGGAGCCCAGCAGGTCGAGGCTGCGGTGGCTGGGAGCAGCCACTGCACTCCAGTTTGGGCGACCGAGTGAGACTCCAACTCAAAATAATAATAATAATAATATAATAATAACAATGTATTTATTATCACAGCATACCTAGAGGGTAGCCTTTATTTTTATGGTTCTAGTTTTACAGATGAGGAAACTGAGACACAGATGTTGGGAGGAACTTGTTTAAGATAATACAGGTAGTAGGATTCAAACCAAGGAGGTGTGGTTTCTAAATTCTGTGTTCTTCATCCTTCTTTTGTAATGGAAGATTCCTTATGGGATGGGATTGGACATAAGGAATCCACTGTTTTAAGAGGACACCAACATGACAGGTGGGATGTGGGGTGGTGGAGGAAACTTTGTAATCTTGCTGGATGCACAAGAATGAGGATGGCCTTTTTGACTAAGCCCACATCTCCTGCCCTGGCTGCCTGAGGTTGGCGTGCTCTGCTGTCTCCTGTTCCTGAGACTGGCTCTGGGCCCACAGGGGAGGAGTCATGTCACTGACAGACTCTTTCTTCCATCACCGTGGATCCTAAAGTCACCTCCAGAAAGCCAGGGAGACAGGATGGTGGGTAACTGGGGCATGGATCTGGAAGGCAAAGTCTGGAAATGACACCAAATAAGGAGCCCCATTAACTTGGGAACACTTAGGTCTGGAGAACGTAAAAGTGTGCACAAGAGCCTGAGCCTTTCTAATTCAAAGCCATCCAAATCCTTCCTTTTGTAACCTAAGCTGCTAATACTCTCCTGCCGTTAGTTCATTGTGTGAAGAGATGAGGGTTTAGTCTGGTGTCTCAGTATAGCAGGTATGATAGGAAAACTGGTCCCTTCCAGAACATCGTTAGTCTTTTTTTATCTACAGAGTCATATTATGATTGTTCCAAGCTGTAAAGGGAATTGTCCCTAAATCATGAACATCTACAGGGAATGAGCTAAACTTTTACAAGCGATGATCTGAAGTGAGCCACAAAGGAAAGTTCTGGAAAGAGGGCAGAGGCACAAACGGTTTCTGCATCTTCTTCATTTTGCCTCTTTCACTTTGATTCTCCACAAATGCCACTTCTAAAACGTCTCCTTAAACTTCCAAATCTTGGTGCCAGAATATTCCTTTCAAATGCTTCTTCTGGTCTTCAGGAGGAGTATTTTGTGCCTCATTGATGTAAATAACATCCCAAAGAGATGCAGTCTTTGTCTGTTTGCTATGGTGAAAAATAAACCTGAGTGGCCCTGCTGCAAGTGTCTGAAACTTTGAGGTTTCTAGGCTTCAGGACTTTCCCACTTTCCCTGGAAGTAGAAGCTATCAAGGCTACCTCACAGGCTATCAGGAAAAATGCTCAGTTCCCTCATGCAGGGCCCATACCCATTGGTGGAATCAAGGAGGTTTCATGGACCAGAGCACAGAGTCGCTTGGTATTTCACTCACAGAACTCCGGGATCGATTATGGAGACATTTCTTCCAGAAGGGCACTCCGGGAGAGACTGAAATGTAAAACTTTTGACTGGTACTTGAAAAATGTTTATCCACTTCTGAAACCGATCAACACCATCGTGGGCTATGGAAGAGTACGTATTAGGAAAATGCATTTCTGATTTCAAATGCTTGACTGTTAAAGACCGACTTGAATCCCATGACTGTCTAGTCAAGGGTTTTCAAATGCATCCTGCCTGGGATTCCTTTTCTACCCTGACCCCTTCCTGAGGTTTTTGACCTTGGACCCTCTGTTTTCTTTCCTCTCTTGTTCCCCGGTCTCCATCTCTGTTCTTTCTCTCTGCTTCCAGGTCTTTTGCAAACTGCAGCCCTTGCCCCCAGCCTCTCGGTTTCTCCACTAACCAGAGTGTGTGGTGGTAGTCTGCGGTGGCAGGCATCCCCAGCAAGTGGGCACCCCAGCGGCACCTCATCTCAGCATCTGTCTGGTTGCCAATGCTTAGAAAATGCCTGGCAGACTCCCAGCTCTCTGCTCCTTTTGTCTGGTAGTTCCTAGAACCCTTGGTGTCCTGGAGAAAATGTACATCCTGGGGAGGTATGGGGCGCTCTTTTCTGCCTCTTTCCAACCATGTTGTTGTATGTTTTGCCCCTGCAGATGAAAAACTCACTGGATGAAAGTGTCTGCCTGGATCAGGGACCTGTCCCAGGCAACACCCCCACCATGCATCACTGCCATCAATTTTATTCACAGGTATCTTTCACAATCCTCCCTGCTCTGACAGAATGAGGTTGTGGTGGCTCAGTTCCTGGCAACCTCTGCCAGATTTGGTCTCAGTGTGAGATGATGGGGAGGCAGGAGCTGAGCATCCTGGGTAAGGATATAAGACCTTCACTTGTACCGAGGCACTTCTTAGTTCGTTGAACAAGCCATGGTATTTCAGGTACAGGTAAGAAGAAAGACTGTACCCTGTTGCATTCATTCTCTTGATGGTATTTTCATGAATAAGTCATCTCTGCTTGCTTCCTTTTCCCCACCTCCCACTGCCCCTTCCATTCTCCCACTGCTCCATGTAAGCCCTGGGAAGTAGACAGGTGGAGACATCTGTACTTCTCCTGTAGAGAAGGAAAGAAAGGGCTAGAAGAGAGAGAGGCTGAGTGGAAGTTCCTTTAGGGGATGAAAGAGCCCGGGCACCAAGTAGAGGGTACAGCCAGCAGACTGTTTTTCCTGAGAATATTTACATCTGTCATCTTACTTTGCACACTGCCCAGGAAGCGAGTGTTAGATTGAGAATATGAAAAGTGTCCTGACAACTGGGCTTATAGTGGCAGCTTCTGATGTTAAGCTATGTTTTTTTTTTCTTCAAAGACAAGCTCCCTCTTTCAGGCAAACCATATTCTGTTGGAGTCCTTGTAGGGAGGGAAGTAGGCTAAGTGCCCCTGCCTGGGCCTGATTTTCTCCCTGGAATCAGCTGGAGACTTGGGCGAAGGAACACATACACTTCACCAGGCCAGCTACAAAGTGTTCCCCTAGTCTTAGACACAGTCTCCTTCAGGAAGCTTTCCATGAGCCACCTGGAGTGGGATGGGTGTTTCTTCCCTGTGCTCTCAGGGCCCCTTTTGTAGCCCTCGTCCCTCCCACCTGCCTCCCACTTGCTTCTTTTTTTTTTTTTTTTTTTGAGTTGGAGTCTCACTCTGTTGCCCAGACTGGAGTGCAGTGGCCGCTCCTGGCCACCACAACCTCCACCTGCTGGGCTCGGGCGATCCCTTCCGCCTCAGCCTTCCAAGTAACCAGAATTACAGGCACGTGCTACCATGCCCAGCTAATTTTTTGATTTATTGTAGAGATGAGGTCTCACCTGCCCAGGTGGGTCTCGAACCCGCAGGCTCAGGCAATCCACTCACCTCGGCCTCCCAAAGGCACGGGATGACAGGCTGAGCCACCGAGCCCGGCCTCACTTGCTTCTTGTTGCCCAGGAAGGTTCAGTACTTCCCATGCAATGGGATGTCTAGAGGACCCAAGAGCAGTCTTCATGCCCTATCTACAGTCAAGGCCTCCCCTCTTGCTGACTGTACTAATGGCAAGTCTCTTTGTTCTCTTTTAGAATGTGTACTATCACCTAACTGGGGAGCTCTATGTGGGAAAACTGATTGCAGAGGAAAATACTAGAGACCGCTGCCTGACAGACCCTGGCAAGGGGGAGAAACCCTCTTTAGAGTCATGTTCCAAGGCAACTAAAAATGGACTGTTCATGTATTGGGATTTTAAACCGGTGAGTCACATGCTTTTTTTAAAAAAAAAAAAATAGGCATACTTAAATATAGTATGAGAGGTTCAGGTTTGATTTGATCGTGTTTTAGAAAAATTTATTTTTGGGGTAGCATGTAGAAAAAAGACTGGAAACAGTGAACTAGGTATAAGACACTGTGTCTTGGCTAAGGCAGGGTGGTAGGGGGTTAAGGAGAAGAAATGTTGGAGTCTGTTGTAGCTGAGTTGCTGAGAGTTTGGGCTCAAATCTTTCGGTCACCATTAGCAAGTTCCTTACCCACTCTGACACACAGTTTCCTCATCTATAAAATGGGGATAATAATATCTCCTTTATAAGGCTGTTGGGAGGATTAAAGGAGATAGTATATGTAAAGTATTTAGCATGGAGCCCAGCACATAGGAGTGTTAGCCGTTGAGATTAACTTTCTTATTAATGATGATCAGAGAGTGTGGAGCACTTAGCTGAAATTTGACAGGGACTAATGTAAAAGTCTTGCCTTCAATTTCAACATCAAATAACCAAGAACAGGGTGGAGGGGATCTGGCAGAATTCACATGACAATGACATGAGGGACCTGGCTGACCACGGTCTGCATGTGAATTTACTGTGGCCGAGGCTGCTGTTCTAGAAGCGTGTGTCTCCTTAGGCCACTTGGGTAGGGATGGGATGTCCTGATGGGAGGAGCTACTTCTCTCTCTGTGGCCATGTCTCTGAATACCTTGGTACTGGACACTAGCTCAGCAATTCCTAACTTTTTAAAGCTAATGATCCTTTCGAGAATTTGCTGCCAGCTATGGACTCCAGGAAAACATCCATATGTACCCACAAGCACAATTTCGCTTGCAATTTCAGAGGATTTTTACATCCTAGATTAAGCCTCCCTGAACTAGACAACATTGATGAGAAGAAGGAAAAGGGACCGGGCGCGATGGCTCATGCCTATAATCCCAGCATTTTGGGAGGCCGAGGTGAGAGGATTGCTTGAGCCCATGGGTTTGAGTCCAGCCTGGGCAACTTGGCGAGACCTCATCTCTACAATAAATAATAATAATAATAATAATAAAATTAGCAGGGCATGGTGGCGTGAGCCTGTAGTTCCACTTACTTAGAAGGCTGAGGCGGAAGAATCACCTGAGTCCAGTAGGTTGAGGCTGTGGTGGCTGTGAGCGTGCCACAGCACTCCAGCCTGAGTGACGGAGGAAGACTCCAACTCAAAAAAAAGGAAGAAGAAGGAAAGTCATCTTGCCTTAAGCTCCAAGTACATGGAACGACGTGTAATTCATGAAAGGCTATGCTCCTCCCACTGTGGGCCCTTTTTTCAGGTGTTATTGTCTCATCCTTTGCTCTGACCTCTCCCTGCCAACACATACACTTCACCAGGCCAGCTACGAAGTGTCCCCCTGGTCTTAGACACTCCCTCCTTCAGGAAGCCTTCCATGAGCCGTCCGGAGTGGGACGGGTGTTTCTTCCCTGTGCTCTCAGGGCCCCTCTTGTAGCCCTCGTCCCTCCCACCTGCCTCCTCACTTGCTTCTTTCCATCACTAGCTGTAAGCTGGAGTCAGGGCTGGGGGTTTGTTGTTTTCTCTCTAGCATCTAGCACAACACCTGGAACACAGCAGGCACTCAACAGATGGGACAAATGGAAGATTGGCAAGGCCAAGAGGCATTCTTTTTATCATTAATGATTATCAGAGAGCGTGGAGCACTGGGCTGAAGTTTGACAGGGACTAATGGAAGGAAAAAGATAACGCTGTCTTCACGAGGAGGAGGGAACAGACGCATTCAGTGTCACAGGAGGGCAGGACTGAGAGCAGTGGAGAGGGATCCGAAGACAGGTTTTTATTTGCTATAAGGAGCCTGGGAAGGGCTTTCTAACAGCTTTGCAGCCTCAGTTGTCCTATAGGAGATTGGGCCACGCAGCGTGGTGGTGACGTCTCTGTCTCTGGCCGTCACCAAGCAAAGCACATCTGAGCATCTGGCAGGCCTAGTGTGAGAAATGTGAGTTTTGGAAGCACTTAATGGCATCTTCTGTGTGAAGAAAATGCTACACATTTACTTTGTTTTTTAGAAATTAATATTCACTTTTTCAGGTTATAAATGAAAGAGTCCTGGTTTTTCCTTAAGCTTTTACATTCAACTTACGAATCTTATTATTTTATCAATAAATCCAGCGGGTTTTCACAATCCCTTTTACAGATGATTTAAAAAATTTAATAAATTAAATTTTCTTAAGTATAAAAAGCTTTATTTATACATCTTACACACAATCCAGTGTATCACACTGTAAGAAATGTAAGAAAAAAGAGAGCCGGGCTCGGTGGCTCAGCCTGTCATCCCGCGCCTTTGGGAGGCTGAGGTGAGTGGATTGCCTGAGCCCGCGGGTTGGAGACCCGCCTGGGCAGCGAGACCTCATCTCTACAATAAATCAAAAAATCAGCTGGGCGTGGTAGCGCGCGCCTGTAATTCCGGCTACTCGGAAGGCTGAGGCAGAAGGATCGCCGGAGCCCAGCAGGTCGAGGTTGCGGTGGCCGGGAGCGGCCACTGCACTACAGTCTGGGGGACAGAGTGAGACTCCAACTCAAAAAAAAAAGAAAAGAAAAAAGAGGATGTTGTCTTCATGAGGAAGACGGAGCGATGCAGTGTCCCAGGAGGGCAGAGCTAAGAACAGTGGATGGAGATTACAATGGCAGGTGTACCCTTAAGAACTTAAATTATCTGACTTTAAGTGAAGTAATTCTTAAGTTTTCTTGAATGCCTCGAAAGGTTTACAAAGTCGGTAAAAATTTCAGTATGTCGCAGATTAAATTTTCTAACTGCATGTTTTAAGGTTGGCATCACAAGTTTGGTCTGTAAGATGCTGAGTTGTCTTAGACACAACAAGTACTTGAAAATAGTAGATATACACAGAATCTTTAGCGAGTATTATGCATTTGATTTCCCTTATGCCTTTACTTTATCCTAAATCCCCTGGGAGTTGAAGATACTGCTTATTCTAAAGACATAATTATACATTTCAAACATTTTGAAGGTTGTCTTGCCAAGGGAATTTTGGAAGACTGCCTTCTCAGCTGACTGAGGTTGCTGATGAAATGAAGATTTTGGCTGGGCATGAGACCCAAACTGTAGGACATCCAGAGAATTTCTGTCTACCATTCTGATGTCTAGGCTGAGTCCCTTTATATGGCCTCTATGTCAAGAACTCCAAAAGTTAAAGAGGGAGGTGTCCGGGCAGTTTACAGGGTATTATCTAATTTCAATTCATTCCATCTGAGTATTATCACATGAAAGTCGAGAGGAAATAGAAAATAAGCCATCCACTATGTCTAAAAGGTCACAATAAATTTTAATAACCAAGAGTTATTGAGCACATACCAGTTATTGAGCATATACCAGGCCTTGGGTTAAGCAGAATCTAATTCAGTCCTTATGAAGTACACGTCTTACAAGAGAAGTGTTATCATTAGCTCTGTCTCACTTATGAAATAACTAAGGTACCGAGAGGTCACATCATTTGCCCAAGGTCACCCAGAGTCATCAGTGCCTAGCATTCAGGCACAGACTTCTAACCACCTTGCATCATCACCTCTTTGCTTGATAATTTGATTCTAAAAGGTGGGCGGGGAGCGAGAACTCTCTGAAATATTGGTTTAAAAAGTTGGTAGACTCAGGTGAGTGGATTGCCTGAGCCCGTGGGTTCGAGACCCACCTGGGCAACTTGGTGAGAACTCATCTCTACAATAAACAAAAAAATTAGCCAGGCGTGGTAGCATGCCTGTAGTTCCAGCTCCTTGGGAGGCTGAGGTGGAAGGATCACCAGAGCCCAGCAGGTCGAGGCTGCGGTGGCCGGGAGCGGCCGCTGTACTCCAGTCTGGGCGACAGAGTGAGACTCCGACTCAAAAAATAAAAAATAAGAAGTTGGTAGAGTTAAGGTTTGCTTTTTAATTTTTTTTCGTCCCTCTAAGATTGTGACATTTGGATATATTTAAAGGTAGTAGAAAAGGACTCAGCAAAGAAGGAAAACTAAAGGACAATGTTAGACAGAAAAGAGCTTCTCCTGTGTCAAGAATAGTCGCGGCTCAGAGCCCCGTGGAGTCTGCTGGCGGCCGAGATGAGGAGGGACGGCTCCTTTGAGATTGTCCACTAGGCACTGTCCTCAGAAACACTGAGGCTTTCAGGCGAGGCAGACTGACTAGAAGGCATGGTCTTCTCAGCATTTAGTGAAAGCGAGCATCAAGAGGTGGGGACCGAGAGCAGAGTGTGCTGAAGAGGCCTGGACAAGTAGCCCCGAGGAGTAAGCCGAGCTCTGAGGCCTGGTTACTGCAGGTGCGCTTAGTAGCTAGGCCTGCTCGGTGGTGGCTCTTGTCCAGGAGTGCTCTGTGGTCTAGAAGCAGGGTCCAAGAGAAAGGAACAGTGGTGGAGAAGTTCCAGAATCTGGAGCATCGCCCTGAGGGACCGATGCTGGATGTGTCCCTCCAGGAAGAAAGAGTGGTGATGGGAGGCAGGGGAACCCAGGGGCAGACCAATTTAGGGGTCTGAATTTAGGGGTTGTTGGGGGCAGTTTGTGACTGGAAGAGGTGAAAGGCAGGGGGGCGACAGTGAGAGATTTGGCCACGTTAGAGCTGCAGCCTTAGTTGGTGTTCACCACCTGGTGGCAGTTTGTCTGAAGGGAAACAGTGAGGTCAGGTCTTCTCATTCACGGTCAAGATGGATGCTGTGAACTCCAAGGATGATAGTGGAAGGTGAGTGGGAAAAGGGGAAACAGCCTGACCCACGCACCGGTGTGGATCGTGTGCGTGATTCCAGCAAAGGGGTGGAGAGAGCTGGGAGCAGAGGGCAGGGCCAGGAGGGATGGTAGTCTGGACAGACGGCAGGATCATCCGTTGTGAAAGCAAGGAGGAAGGAGTTGGGGGCTGGGGAGCACGTGGGAATGAAGGGAAGGATGGCCCCTCCTTTCTCTTCTCCCATCGGAATGGGCAGCGGCAGAGACGAACTAAGATTTATTGCACATCTCATGTGTCAGGCACAAGATGCTCCATCAGTACGAACTCTCATGTTCATCTTAATATTAACTCTAAACCCATTCTACAGACGAGGACATTGAGACTTGAAGAGTTAGGTCATTTGCCCAAGGCCAAGTCGTTTGTAGAGCCCTGATTTTTCAGCACTAAATCCCATGATGTTTTCAGTCGTGAGCCTTGGTGAAGTCCCCGGGACAGGAGAGACAGAAAATGGGCTGAGATTCATTTTTTTTTTTTGAGTTGGAGTCTCACTCCGTAGCCCAGACGGAAGTGCAGTGGCACACTCCCGGCCACCGCATCCTCGACCTGCTGGGCTCCAGCAATCCTTCCGCCTCAGCCTTCCGAGTAGCCGGAATTACAGGCATGCGCTACCACGCCCGGCTGATTATTTTTTATTTATTGTAGAGATGAGGTCTCGCCAAGTTGCCTGGGCAGGTCTCGAACCCATGGGCTCAGGCAATCCACTTGCCTTGGCCTCTCAAAGTGCTGGGATGACAGGCTGAGCCACCGAGCCTGGCCGGGCTAAGATTCTTGAATGTGGCTTTTGCTCCAAGCCCACAACACAGTCTCAGTGAGGAGGAATCAAGGTAAAGGTGACCCTGCCGGGTGTCATGAGCTCAGGGGTGAGAGCACGACAAAGAAGGCCAAGTAGAGAAGCCACAGCTCCCCAAGATGCCCTCACGTCACACCGGTGGGTACTCACCCGACACTTCCATCTCAGGAGAGGTGAGGGTGTTATGCGAATCAGCCCACATGGCTTTGCTGGGGTAGAGGAAGCACAGGGTGACATAATCCTATTCTTGCTTCCTTTTCTCCCTGGGTGACTGCGGAGCATCGAGGGAGCCCTCAAGCACGTGGCTGGCCATCGCAGACAGAGCGGGAGAAGAGAGATGATGCGTTCCTAGGGCATTTCAAGACCCTGACTCTCTCTCTCCTCCCATCCAGGGAGAAGCCGTCATAAATAGGGACACCAAGCGGTGTCTGGAGATCCAGAGGGAAGCCTCGGGCACCTACGTGCTTGTGCTCCAGACCTGCACCACGCAAGTGTGGGGGATACAACACACCGTCGGGAACTGGGGTCAGACCAGTGTCAGAGAGCCTCACCAGGGAACACCAGCTCTTGCAGATAGAATGACTTCTACGACTTCTACGGCTTCTACTCCCAACGCTACTCATAGTGGGAGAGGGTGAGAGAAAGAAAGCGTGTGTGTGTGTGTGTGTGTGTGTGTGTGTGTGTGTGTGTGTGTGTGTGTGTGGCGGCTTCAGGTGAGGCCCGTGCATGGGCCGGGATGTCTCTGCTGGTACTCCGACCACCTCGTCCCCAGCCACCCTGGGAAGGTCGTGATAGGTATCCAATGCCATTCTCGGAAACTCCCTGAAATAACCCGCATCCTCTGGCTGTTACGTGGGGGGAGAAGGGGGAGGATGGAAGTTTATCTTTGACTTCTGCCCACGCTGTTTAGCTTTCCTTCCAGACAGCTACCGTCGCCATCTGTCCCACACCTCCTCCCCAGCTCGTCTGCCCGGGACTCCCCAGACTGCTGGGGCTGTGGCACGTGAGAGGCTGGGTTGCCCTCAGTCCGGCAGCACGACGGTTGCTCCGGTGGCACCGATTCTCCCTCCATTCTGTGCTGTCCTGAGCAATGAAGCAGACGGACCAGGGACTTTGAAACAGTTCTCCGTTCATCTCCCCACAGCCGTCTCCTTGGATGACCTGTCTCTCCTAAAGCGATTTTCGAGATTGGGGCGAGGAGAAGAGGCACCTCATCCCAGCTCTTCAAGGGACCCTGCCTCAAGAATGGTAGCAAAATCCCGGGCTGTCAGTCTCTCTCTAAGTCGTAACCTAAGCCACAAGCCTCAACCTTTAATGACTTGATCACCTCTTTTCTCCTATTACCCCTGCATGTGATGGAGACAATAAGGCTCGACACAGGAGGGTATCACTTGGTGGGGGCAAAGAACAGATTGCAGACAAAAGCTTCGAGCCAGGAGGTCTACTGGCTGTTCACTGTATAAATGCTTCCCACCAGTTGGTGAGCTGGAAAGCTATATCCTGGGCTGCCCATTTCTGGCAAGGTCTTGGAGGCTGATGGGGCTGGTTGTCACAGTGGCAGGATGGTTCCGTGAGTGTGGTGTGTTATGGGCCCACCCTTCAAGCCCGTGCTTCCGGGACATTTTCTTCAGAAGGCTCCTTTTTCTTCTGAGGGCATCTGGGAATGATTCTGGAAATTATCTGGTTTCCTTTTGGCATTAGCCAGGCAAGACACTGGGAATTTAGCACAGAATTAAGTAGACTTTTGAAAATAAACTTTTAAAAGTGCAAGTTGGCCGGGTGTGGTGGCTCACGCCTATAATCCCAGCACCTTGGGAGGCTGAGGTGAGAGGATTGCCTGAGCCCATGGATTCGAGACCAGCCTGGCCAACTTGGTGGGACCGCATCTCTACCATAAATAAAAAAAAAAATTAGCTGAGCATGTGCCTGTAGTTCCAGCTATTTGGAAGACAGAGGTGGAAGGATCATCTAAACCCAGCAGGTCAAGGCTATGGGGGTAGTGAGCGTGCCACTGTACTCCAGCCTGGGTGAAAAAGAGTGAGACTCCAACTCAAAAATCAATCAATCAATCAATCTTATAATAAATAAATAAAAGTGTTCAAGTCCTAAGTGCACAGCTTAATAAATGTTCCACACACATCCATTTCAATAACTAAAACATTACCACAGATAAGATTTTTAAAAAAAATTTTAAAGATGGGGTACAGTTAGGGTTAGGTATACAAATGTTCATTATGCAGGTACCCTTGTTGATGGGGGTACGCCCCTCCCTCCCCTGGCGGTTTCCCTCAGCTGCCAATCCCATACCCCCGCCCCCCCGGCAGTTTCCCACTACTGCCAATCCCTTTCTTATAGTATTATGATAGTTGTTCAAGATTTGCTTATGAGTGAGAACATATGGTACTCTGTTCTTTATTTCTGTGATTGATCACTGAGTATGATAGACTCTAAATCCATCCAAGTTGCTGCAAAGTCCATGTTTGTTCTTCTTTATGACTGCATAATATTCCATTTACCACAGATAAGATTTAATTTGAAAAAATCAATGACTAGGATAAATGTTAAACAAATGGATAACGTCTAGATTTTGACTGGCAAATTGAAAGGAAAATGCAATTCATAGCAAAGTTTTGAAAAACCATGTATCCAACAGAGAGATGAAAAATAGGACACAATATCCTTAAACGTATGAAAAGATGTTTAACCCATCCCATAGCTAAAGAAATGCAAATTGAAATTGCACCGAGATAACTTTTCAGTTAAATTGGTGAAAATTAAAAAGTAGGACAGCACATTCTGTTGGCAGGGCTATGGGAAACAGGCAATCTCATGCATCAACGGTAGGGATGCAAACTGGTACAATCCTCTTGGAGGGATATTTAGCAATATCTAAGAATACCATATGTGCATTTTCTATTTGTGCCGGCAATTCCACCTCTAGAGATTTACCTCCAAAATAAAAAAACACTTATGAACAGAGTAATTATTTGCAGTATGGATTGCAACTGAAAAGTGTTGGCAAAAAACCTATATGGGCCGACATCAGAGAGTGGTTGAACACATCCACGTGATGGAGTGCTATGCAGCTATGAAGAAAGAACAAGGGTCATTTCTTTAAACGGATGTAGTGTCATATCAATACTTAAGTGACCAAAGGAAAACATCATCTATAGTAAATTTACCCTTTTTTGGTAAGAAATAAGGGGAAAATATACATGTATCTATTCATTTCTGTAAAGTGAAGACATGTAAGAAGGATAAGCTAGAAACTAACAAGATTGATTGCAATGAGTGGTGGTGGCTGGAAATAAGGGTGAAAATTAGAACAACAGGATAGAAGGGACATGGGAGGAGTGCCGTTTCTCTAAATATACTTTTTATAGTTTTGGCTTTTAGAACACTATGTATTTTATACACTTCAAGTATAGATACACAAAATCAATGAAGATAGAGAGAAACCCAAAATGGAGTATAAACAAAAGTAAGTGAACCTAACTATATTTTAAATGAATATACTCATGCACGCACACATGGAGTGCACCTAGTATCCAGCATCTGGATCTTGTTTCTAAATAAATTCCAGTAAAAAGAATGAGGGCTTCTTGGAGAAAGCAGTGATATAGGGCTGGGGCTAGGACATCCTCCCATGTTAGAAAGCAAGAAACTGCTCAAAGAACAATGCCCACAGACACATGTCACAAACCACAACACCCAGGTGGAAGGGGCTTTCGCCGGCCAAATGTGAGACGATTTGAGCACTGAAATAAATAATGATCATTTTAAATATCACCAGTTGTTGGGCAAATGGATCTCATGTTCCTCTTGATCTGATATGCCAAGAAGAAATCAACATTGCTTCTATGGTATTTCTGCCAAAAAACAAGAACCAAAACCCATAGTCCTGAGAAAGCTTCAGTTCTTCAAAGGAAACGGTCTGTTTCAAAAAAGGAGGAACTGATCCAGACCGAAGAGACTAAACAGACACCACAACTAAATGTATAATGTGAGCCCGGATTGAATCCTGGACCTGAGGGGATGTTTTCCCCCCTTTGATTTATAAAGGACAGCAATAGACAATAGGTGAGATTTGAATAAGATGTGTCAATTAATTGATAGTACTGTATCAATGTAACTTTCCTGATTTTGATATTGTACTGTGGTTCTATAAGAGAATGTTCTTGATTTTTCCAAATAATCACTGGATGGAGTGGGGGAAAGGGGTATTACCTCTGAGATTAGATTAGATAGATAGATGATAGATAGATAGAGGATAGATAGATAGATAGATAGAGGATAGATAGATAGATAGATAGATAGATAGATAGATAGATAGATCGAGCAATAGATAGATTAGACAGAGTATTGGATAAACGGATGGATGAATGCATGGACAGATAGAGCAATATTTAGTTTACATGAAGTGATGGATGCATAGATCGACAGACAGATAGATAAGATAGATAGGCAACTAGATTGACAGTTGGAACAGGGAGTGATAAAGCAAATATGCTCAAGTGAATCTGGATGAATGTAAAGCACATACAAAAATTATTTGAACTATATGCAGCTTTTCTGTAAGTCTGGGATTGTTTGGAAATAAAAATAAAAAAAAATTGAAGCAAACTCAAACCCAAACCGCCTATCTAAACAGACATTAAATATCTCTTCCCAATAAACTGCAAGAAATAGCAGCTTAATACAAGTTCGGTGGCTTTGTTCTCTAGAGGAAACCTGTGATTCTCTCCCATCCATAAGTGAGGAAAGCTTCTTGGGCTTCCCTGGCTTCCCTGAGGTCCCGAGTTTCCTCCAGCAGCTCAGTTCAGCAGGGTAGCCTGTTAGTTGTGACAAGGAGGGCGTTGATTTGCTTCCTTGGCCCCCAAACCACCTATCCATTGTATGTCTAGGGTTCGACATGGATTCTGCTTCTCTGGTCACTGCCTCCTTCTAGCCTTCACTGTCCAGGGCATGTGAAGGTCATCTCTGTTGCCATCTTTAGTCTAGTCGGGAAACTGTTTCCTTGGCAACCAAATTAATTATCCACTGACTCCCTCTCTTTGATTTCTGGGAACATTGGAGTTGGAGTTCCCATCTAAACAACAGTAGATACGATTGGCATTAGCTAGTCAATGACCTTAACGAGTATGAAAAGCACCAAAACGCCAACATGGAAGTCTGTGTTTGCTCCCCTTATTGGATCTCTGGAGTTGTGGAATCACCTGCCCCCTCACTTGGGCTCAGAGAGTGAAAATCCCTGGGGTGTCCTGCAATGGTTATCTTCTCCCCACCCCACATGACCTCGGGGCCTCCCGATGCCCCTACCTTATTCATCCTGTCATGGGGATAAGCCATACCTACAAAACGCTCCTCTCTTCTTGTCCCCTAAGTTCCACGTTTGTTTTCTCTTTTCACCTCCCCAAAACTGAAATTACAAAACCAACTCTCTGTCTTGTCTTTGCTTGCTCCCGCCCCCATATCCCCCACTTCAAACAGAAATCCCAGGCATGCCGCTTGAATCTGTCCCTTTCTTTACTGGAGTCTCCACTTCCCTAGGATTCTGTCACTTTTCCAAAGGAAGCAGGACCTGGAGACCCAGGGGTCACTACTATCAGGTGCCAGGTTGTCCCTCTTCTGCAGATCCTAAGCACCGTACCCACCAGGTTTGGGTATGGCAACTCTCTCTCCAGGGTGAGCAACTTTCTTATCTGTGTGTGGTCTAAGGGATACAGGGCTGAGAGCAGTAACACTTGTAACACGCTGAGAGCCTGGTGACTTTGAAGCTAATGTCTTACAGAGTTTCTTTATTTGCAATAAATTTTTACCGTAGGAAATGTACTTTTAGCTAATGTCCTGAACTTAAGGAAATTTGTGAAGTTCTTTTACAGAGATGAAATGAAGTAAAGTTCATTATCACTAGGGCTGATGGGTAAAATCAATTGCTCATGACTTTGTTACAATATGAACAAACAGTTTTCCCTCATAGATATTTTAGCAAATAAAGTTTCATGGAGCAAACTTGTTTAAGATTGCAAACCTACCATCCTTAGAGAACTATAGAAACCAAATCTCTCAATAGTACCAGAAGGCTGTTTGGCCTCCTTAGCAAAAAAGACTTGGGCAGAAACTCAACTTTATGACAACGAAATAAGAAATAGGTTCAGTTCTAACTTTAATTGTTAAAAACAAATACGCCAATATTTCCTAATATTTCCCTTCTCTCTCTAACAAGTCACGATGGCTAGGTCAGGACTTGTCCTTTCAAAGTGATTTGTCAATCTCCTTCCGTTCTTTGAAGTCTCGTCATTGACTTCTAATGAGCCTGGTGCTTCTGCTTCCAATGCATTTTCTAACCAAGGGTAAACTGAAGAAGATGGGCTCATGCTTTCCTAGTCCACAGAGCCTTTGTCTTGGGACTGGCTGCAGTCCCCACGTCCCAGAAATGCCCCCCTCATCAAAGTCCCTACCCCTGTTTCCAGAGCACCCACTGGTGGCCCTTCCCTGTGGGTACCCAGCACACCTTGACCAGTTTTTTCACATGAGAATTCCTTCTCAGCATGGTTTGGGAAAATGTCATTTTCCCAAATCTCAAATTCCAAGAAAAACTCATTAAAAAATTGGGAAAACAGGGACAAGTGTTAGCATTCTCCTGTGAGGATTAAAACTTTGCAAGTGACAGAGATATGTTACTGGTTCGAAGTAAACCACTGATGTCCAGTAGAACTCAAGAGCAGGAAACACAGACACATCCAAGATCAAGGGTGATTTTTCAGAAAGTGGGACAGTAGTTCCAAGAAAAAAAAAAAGCAGCTGTGATCCAATAAGTGGGTCCTCCTTATATAAACAATTACCATGTTATAAATGTGTGCTTGTGATCTGTCTGCTTCTAATGGTGAGTGACTATTGCAAATACAATACATATTAAATTTGTATGCATAATGCATTCTATACAAATATTTATACAAATCTTATGAATGGTGTCCCGAGAAATAACAAGTTGTTTTTAAATTGGCATTTTCAACTGCGATTCTTTCTGACTCGTGCTGCTAACCTTAATAAGATATCCTGATGTTACATTATTTGAATATACACAGTCATGTTTGCTGGAATTTTCCAGAGTTTAAATATTTGCTACAGACCACAATTTTTGTAACTATTGCCGAACTTAATATTTCTTACTTAGGAAACAACTTTCTAGATGTTCACACTAATAAATAAAGAGTATAATTAATTTTAGAAATACTTAAAGAATAACTTATGATTGGGGGAATTTCTGAGAGTTCTAATTTTTTATTCCTGAATTCCAAAGATAATATCTATTGGGAATCATTAAAAAGACTACCTGAGCACTGCTTAAACCTACCAGACGACCTCCATTCATTACTCTGGGTTCTTCATTAAACAGGAATCTTTCAGGTATTTTTAATAAGAATATTGTGCTTTTCCCATTTTTTTTAAACGAAGTCTTTTCAAACGCTTTTGATAAAATAATATTCCTCACAGTCTTTGGTGTATATTCTGTGCTTGGCCTTGAGAGGTGGGTCTGGTGAATGGCAGGCAGCCGAGACACAGGGTCTGGTGGGTCCCCACTGGGTCACAGTGGTTCTCATGAGGGTAACAATCTCCAACAATTGGTTTCCAGTGACTTCTCAGTCTTCAAGAGCGTCTCTCCAGGGCAGGAGCACTCTGTGGACAACAGCGTGCACTCAAGATGGGGTAGAGAGCAACATACGCTTCCCCTCTGATGGGTGGGAAAAGGGGAAATTTAAGAATTCAGGTTATAGATTTAAGAATGCAGCTCTGGAGAAGAGCTCTGAAAAGGGACTGATTCCCACCTGTGGAACTCCCTTGTCTCCTTTGAGCCTTTTGGAAGCAGGGAGGATTCCTTTAGACCCTGATAAGAAGCATCCTTAAGAAGTGAAGGCATCTCAACTACCTCACCCCTATGGTCTGAACTCTCTGCAGTCAAGTTCGAGAAAGGGGTGGGAGGGGAGGAGAGGAGAGGAGAGGAGAGGAGAGAGATGGCAGGGTGGGGGTGGGGTGGATCTCAGTTACTTGGGCAATAGCCACGGATACTGCCTAATGCTGCTCTCCCAGGGACAATCGGCCCACACGGCAGACTTCTGGCCCTCTTGGGCTTTTCCAAACACGCTGCTTGTGCACAGAGGAGTTTGGAAAAATAAAAGCAATCCGGAGCCACTTCCATCCAAAAGGCAAGGAAGGGAGGTTCTTAAGAGAGCAGCCAAGATGCCTGTGAGAGAGAGAGGGTAGCTGAAGCCGGGTTGGGCCTCTTTGGGCAGACAGACCAGCTGGCTGGTCGCTCCCTGAATGCGACGTGGTACAATAAACAGGCCACTGCTCTGAAATCCAGCTCCCCCTGGCCCTGTGGTGGGGTGGTCTGCAAATCCAGCGATGGAGAGACTTCACTTCTGCCATGCTTTGGAATAGCACTCCCAGCCAAGGTCTTGCCAGCCCACTGTCTGTGTCTGCCCCATCCTTAGATCCTCTTGGCTTTGGGGAAGATCAAAGGTTCTCACTCCTCTTGGCCAGAAGCCTCAGAGAGACATTTGTAGGAGTCTTTTCATGGCAGGCTCCTGGTTACCGGAATTTGAAAACCTGGCTGTGAACACGAATTTCAGGCCAGCTGTTGGCACTAAGGTTATAACAGGGATCAACGTTTACCTTCCCCCACCCCCTTTTAAGTCAAATATGGAGAAACTCCACTTGGCAGTGCTTTTGCCTGAAATAGCAACAGGAAGAGAGACAAATACCCCAAGTTTTAAAAAAGAAAACTTTACGAGAATCAGAGATTCTCTTATAGTGCTGTTTTAAGAAGTAACACCTTTAACTCTGTCATCATATCCCTGATGTTTTTGATTATAAATGGGCCACTAGACGGGGTGTGTATGTCAGTTGTAAAGCCACAGCTGGGATTTTTTTTTTTAAAGCGTCGTTAAAGACACATCGCCAGATAGAAAGTTTAATTAAACCCATGAGTCAGAAAGTAAGGAAGGCCAAGGCAAATATGCTCTCCGCAGGTGTGGCTCTGGGGACAGGAAAGGGGAGTGACTGCTTGCCTTGAAGCTGGGTGTTCTTACTCCTGTCTGGAAGGGACTTTGCAATGTTGTGTTTTTCTTTGGAAGACTTGTGTCCTCAAAGAAGCCACACCCTGTTTACTTTCTTTGAGACACACTTTCTCCTGCTTCCTACCCCTGGGGTCTAAGTGGAGAGAAAAAGGACCATTTGAGTTTGGAGTTCAGGCTTCATATCTGCTGGATGCATGGCCTAGACATACCAAGGTGGCGCCCATGTTGTCATGCTTCTTTTGAGTTTTATGGGTTTCTTCTTTTTGTTTCCACCTACAGTCCTAATTTTCTTTTTCTTTTTTTCTTATCCCACACTTGGCCGAATCAAGCTGAATGGGGCAGAAAGGGAAGCAGGACCTCTGGGAATCAAGGGTAGGGCTGGAAGGGGTGGGGCTGGAGTGGGGAAGGCTCTCAGTGAAGAGGGTGAGTGAGAAGCGGCACCGTGCGTTCTACTCAAGAGGCCCAAGGCTGTTCCAAGCCTGCGGCTACGAATGATCAGGGATGTGGGACTGGGGCAAACAGAGCCCGAAGCGAATTTTCCCAGATGGAATGAAAGGGCAAAGAAGAGTCGGGGTGAGATTCTTCGACCTACGGGTCAACGCAGCAGCCATCTGAAGTGTTTCCCATTCTGCCTTCTTCCTAAGGGATGCGTAGAGAAACAAACGAATACATAACACTTGAGTGTTATTTCCCATTGTAAAAGTAACACGTGCACATTGTAGAAATTTCCAAAACACATAAACATGAAACAAACAAATAACCATGTGCAATCTTAGCACTTTGAGGCAATAACGATACATTTCTCTTGATTTCCTTCTCATCTTTTTTATTTCTTTGAGCTTACGTATCAGAATATAGCTGTCTATTTTATGGCATTAGGACCATGCTTAATACACACTTAGCACTTGACTTTGTTTTAATCTCACGTAGACATCCAATGCGATTCACTCATTCATTTGGTAGACCAGTCATCTGCCAAAAGACAAAAGGGTCTAGTACAGAAGAGAGTTCTGCAGGCCGATGGTGTGGGTGAATCTCTCTTAGGTGCGGGTTCTGTGAAGGGACGGGGGCTGTCCCGCAGCAGAGGGATCAGCTGCCCTGAGAAGAAAGAAGATGGAAGCATGTTAGACAAAAGGAGTTCTGTTCTCCCAGACTACAGTGCGAGGGAACCCAGAAGGCTGGAGCTGCTCTGGAATGCTGGGTTTTCCTTTGCAACTGAGTGCAAAGGATGTGTGTACCTGACCTCGGAGGGTACTCACAAGAGTCATTCTTTATTGAGCATCAACTGTGTCCTGGGCACTAGGAAACTGGGCAAACGCTATTTGTCATCCACCTGACATTCTCACCGATAAGTCATCTTCTTCCCACTTTCCACACTAGGAAACTAAGACTCTTGGTTAATAATTTACCAGTCCAAGGTCATGTAACTGGTGAGCCTTTGAATGAAGACAACAACTTAAGTTGCCGAGATTGTAGCAGGATAGAAAAATACAGGCTTTGAAATAAACAAACAAAAAGAAGCATGTATTTGAATTAATTCCATTAAAATAGATCTTCCTTTTAGATGATAAAAATAATAAATATTTATTGAAGAAAAACAGCTCCTAAGTTTTTTTCCTCCATGATTTGCGAAGTCTCTGCTTATCTGATTTTTCCTGTCTGGATCTTATATGAATTCACTCAACAAAGATTTATTTTTAAGTCATCATGAATTAGTTAAGGGGAATTTGGAAAATGGGTGAGAGTTAGCTGCCTCAAGAAATAGCATGATGGGTTTAGGTAGCCACATGTACACTCACCATAACACCATAACACTGCTGCCATAGAGATGGACTCAAGGGCTGAAGAAATATGACTATGTGAAGATTACAGCTTACAAATGAAGGTAGTATTCCCCTCTCTAAATCTTAATCTTTAATCCTAACCTCATTCATGGAATGAGAGGATTGGATAAGAGTGACTTCTGGTTTCAATATTCTATTATTCTCATTCCCTTGCCTTTTATAGATTGGCCACTGGGACGACAGTTCTTTTCCACATGTAGGGAGCTTTGGGTTTCCAGGACAGCCTGCCCCAGAGCTCGTGTTGAACGGCTGCCTTCCGACCAGCGGCAAGTGGCCTACTTAAGTGTTTCCAATGCTTGTATGTGGCAAGAGACACCTGCTCAGCTACAAGTTCAGGGGCTATTTCCTTTCTCCTTTTAGTTACCCCCTTTTTCAACACTTTCTAAAGTCTTCTAGTGGCAGGCCATTGTCTGCTCCACCCCTCCCCACCCCACATTTTCTGGAAGGATGGACTTCAAGGTCATGCTTTACTCTGATTCAGTCCTGTATCCCTCCCGGTCCTAACATTAAACATAGAGGTTGTTCAATCAATGTGGACAAATGAATTGCAGTTTTCTCTTTTGGAACTTCTTTGTGTGCAGGTCAAATGCGCCTGTATTCGTTTTCTATTGCTGGTGTAATACATCTCCACAGACAGTGAATTAAAATAAATTTATTATCTTACAGTTAAATTTATTTGTTAAGTGTATCATCTTACATTTCTGGAGGTCAGAAGTCCAAAGTGGGTTTCACCGGGCTGTCGGCAGGGCTGTGTTTCTCTCTGGAAGTCCTAGGGGAGAATTTGTTTAGTTTTCCTTTGTTTGTTCTTGCTTTTCCCAGCTTCTAGAGGCTTCTGGAGGCATCCTGCTTTCCTGGGCTTACGGCCGTCAAACCTTTCTCACATTCCCTCATTGCAACACTGATCGTTTGGCCTTTCTCTTCCATTTATGAGCCTGTGTGATTGCACTGAGCCCAGCAGGTAACCCAGGACCATCCTCCCATCTCAGGGTCACTCAGTTTTTTCATACAACATAATCCAGAAATTAAGATCTGGGGAAGCCCATGACTGCATCCTGGCTACCACAGTGCCAAGTCATTTTTCCTCAGGATTCTGTCCAGCCACTACCCGTGCACCCACGGAACATTTATTGAGCTCCTCCTGTGTTCCATGAGCTTTCTGGTTGCTGGGAAATCAAAGATGCATGGTGCCTAGTCTGGTAGGGGTCAACAACAGACAGCTGCAATGCAGTCCAACCAGGATTACAGTGTAGGTGTGCGGCGGGGACCGTGAGAGCACTGAGGGGACTGTGGAGGTACAGAGGAGAGGCATCAAAGCCGGATGGAGAAAGAGATGGCACTTGAGCTTTACGGAGGCCAAGACTGGGGATGGGCAACTCTGCCCAGGGAGCAGCCTTTGCAAAGACCTGGGCAGCACGGTGCTCTGGGAATGAAGCTAGTCCGAATTCATGTTATTTGTTAACATTTTTTTTTTTCTTATTTGCTTATTGTCTGTCACATCCCACCCAATTTCATTAGTAGCATCCAAGCAATTGCACACTCGGAGCTTGGTGAGTGTCTAGAATAAAGGAAGTGCTTGTATATATTTGCTGAATGAAAAAAAGATAGTCTAAGTTGCTGGCACATAACATGCTTTCCTTACATTCTACCTGCGCCCTCCTTAAGGAAGAGAGTTGAGACTGGAGAGGCAAGGATGGGGGATTGTGGTGGACCTTGTGTGTGAGTGAAGGAGCTGGATCTTGTTCTATAGCTGCTGGGAAGGGGCTGCAGAGTTTCAAACATAGGAGTGCAGGTGGGTTGCTCTGCTGGCCCTGCCTAGTGGCTTTCCAGGGATTCTTCCTTGTACGTTCATGGCTTTCTTCCTTCAAGGGACATAGCCAGTCTACCTTTATCTGATGTGAGCACAGCATAGCATTTTCGACTCTTGTTGCCAATGTCCCTAAGCTCGTTGACTAAGGCTGCTTTGAGGTCCTTCAAGGTGACTGCAGCCGCTCTTCCCATATTATGCCCAGGAATGGCCCTGATTACCTCCTGCTTTAGGTATCTTTTTCCCCAGAGCCATCTTCATTAAGGTTCTAATTAGGACAGCGTCAGTGAACTGTAAATGCATTTGTAGAAAATGACTGCTTGTCTCAGCAGATTTTTTGCTTCTTTGAAAATGGTAGCAGAAGCGATTATGAAACAGCTGTGGAATGGTGGCAGAGTCGTGGTTTTAGTCAGATGTGGCTGTGAATCCCAGCTCTGCCATGGAATGGCTCTTTGACTTGAGGAAGTCGCACAAATTCTTTGAGTCTCAGTTTCACAACCTATAGAGTGGAGGTTGTATTAGTCAGGGTAGGCTAACTGCTATGGATGCAGGTGAACCCCAGAATTGGGGTTTGGCCGGAGAGGCCAAGTGGGTTCTTGGCTTTGTGCAGGAAGGAATTCAAGTGTGAGCTGTAAGTAGGAGACAAAAAGTAGGCTTAGGAAAGAAATAGATCCCTAGGCTGAAGAGTCTACATGTCACTGAGGTTTCAGTGGGAATATAAAAGTGAGTTCATTGAAATGGCAGGACAAGCTGCCCCATAGGCTGGTCTACAGGAAGAACAAGAGCTATACCTCACCAGGATTGTATTTTTACAGCTTTTTCTTGATTATATACAAAGCAAGGGTTGGATTATTCCTCGGCTTTTTGAGAAAGGGCCAGGAAAATCCCAGAATTGAGGATCTCTTCCTCCTTAAACTTCTGGGCATTGCCATGGTAATTGGAAACTATTGGGGGGGGGGGCGAGGGAGAGGTCTTTTAGCAAGCAAATGTTTTATAGCTAGCCTAAAATGAGCAAAAACAACAAGCAGAGGTGGTTTTTTGTTTGGTTTTTGTTTTTACTTTGTCCCCAACAATCTTCTGCAGCAATTTGCGTCGAGGTTCTTACCTAATGCCCAGGAAGAGTGAGGGACACGGACAGCCAGAAAGTGAGAAAGCAGGGTCTATTGAGAGGATGGAGAAGCTCCCACAGCGGGAGGGACCCGAAGGGGTTGCCTCTCAGAGGTGGGTTTTGACGCCATCTTGATCTTAATTGGGCTCCGCTGGCTTTGGTCAGTCTTCTTACCGCATCCCATCTTGTCAGTGAAGTCCTTGTGATCTTCCTCTTGGGGAATGAAGCCTGCCAGATCCCTACCTCACTGTAACCCAAATTGTCAACGTGTCTATTCTTGGTCGGGTGACTCTTCGGCCTAGCTCTCCTCCAACTAGGACTTTGGGACGCAGGATTCCTCTGCCTTGTGGCTTTCTTAACCCCACAACTCAGTCCCCAGAGTTTTCCTCACTTGGCCAAAAGGCGAAGGAAAGGAAAGAGAATGGTAAGGTTTGTGCAGTGTCACGGGCGGGGCCAGGAAGTGACCTGCAGCCCTTTTGCCCCCAGTCCCTTGTGCAGAACTCAGTCCCAGGACTGTTCTTTTTCCCCCTTTTTATTATAAAGATGTGGGGTACAATTCAGGGTTAGGAATACAAGCACTGGTTATGCAGGTACCCTTGCTGATGAGGTATGCCCCTCCCTCGCCTAGCAGTTTCCCTCAACTGCCACTCCCACCCCCCGCCCCTGACAGTTTCCCACTACGGCCAATCCCTTTCTGATAATATCATAATTGTTCAAGGTCCACTTATGAGTGAGAACACATGGGACTCTGTTCCTTGTTTCTGTGATAGATCACTGAGCATGATCGACTCCAAATCCATCCAATTGCTGCGAAGTCCATATATCTGTCCTTCTTTATGGCTGCGTAACAATGTTCTTAATTACTGCAAGGGGAGCTGGGAAATGTAGTCCAGCTGTGTGCCCCAGGGGCCAAGGAAATGGTTTACAGGACAACTGGCCAATCTCACCAACTCTCCAAACATAAAGATGAGTGTTTCTAGAGTTAAATTAGATAAGTAAGTGCTAATGTGTAGAGCAGTGCTTCATATGTGGTCAATGTTCGATGATTTTTTTTTCCCCTCTTCCTTACAAAGAATGTCTCAGAGAACAACAAATGCTTCTGGGAGGAAATATGGCAGTTGTGGGTTTTGAGAGCAGTCCTCCTCAATGTTCTCTTTTAGAGGTATCGGGGGAGAAAATACTCAGAAGTTGTCCATTAGTATCGGTAAAAAAAATACTTAAAAGAAAATATAGTCCATTAGCCCTTGGCACTCTTGAAAAGAGCTCTTTGATGGTTGCACTGTGACCTCCTAGTTCTACTGGTGGGGTCCCGGGCCTCTTTATCTTCCTTTACTGCTTGTTTTCCAACTAATTGCTTCCACCTCTCCCAACCGTCCCCAACTCACACACACTAATTCCTCTCATTGAGGATTGTAAGGGGAGCTGGACCAAGACTGCTAAGGGGGCGGATTAAATCAAACAAGATAATTTAGAGGAATAAATAGAGCAACACAGGTTCTCTCTTTCTTTTTTCTTGAGTGGAGTCTCACTCTGATGCCCAAGCTGGAGTTCAGCGGCACGATCCTGGCTCACCACAGCCTCAACCTCCTGGGTTCAGGCAATCCTTCCACCTCAGCCTCCTGCGTAGCTGGGACTACAGGCATGCACCACCACGCCTGACTGATTTTTACATTTTTTTGTAGAGATGAGGTCTTACTCTGTTGCCCAACTGGTCTCAAATTCTTGGGCTCAAGCAACCCTCCTGCCTTGGCTTCCCTAAGGGCTGGGATTACAGGCACCAGTTCTAAGGTAGGTTCTTTAAAAGGAAATTAAATGGAATTTGGCCTGAGAGAAAGACCCAGACTAATTCACAGGCTTGTGCAAATGAGTTCGCAAATGACTTGAACAGAGAGTGGAGCGAACTACTAATGTCAGTGTTTAGTAATCAAGTAGGACTGTCTATTTCAAATATCAGGGCCCTTGGGCCTCTCAACCCACAGTTTCCTGTTCCTCTCCTACCCCCCACTCAAGTGATAAGATCATAAATAGAAATGAAAGAAATTTCACCTTCCTTCCTGCGTGTTTCAAGGATGGTGATGCTGATGATTTTATTTGAAAAGTATTATTTTTTTAAAAAAGACAGATTAAGGAGATTAGGTCTTTTCCCTTTCATCAGTGCAATCCCTACCTTTAAAGAAACAGCAGGAATGGACTATTAACTGATGTGTGCTGCTTTTACAGCTATCCCGGGGGACAAATCCATCTCCATTGAGCGTGCAATTGTTGAGAGCTGCAATAGGCACTGGAATGAACTCCTCGATGAGAAGCCTGGGGGCCGGAGGGAACGGGGCTCTAACAGTGGTGGCCTGGGAGGCAAGTCCCCCTCTGGGGATGGCCAAGTGCGAGGACTGAGGACTGAGAGGCCAACTGCAGAGGGCGAACAGGGGCCACTTGGCAGAGAGGACATGACCGTTAAAGTGAATGTAATAACTGCAGCTCACTCATCCAGCCACAGGCTACTCTTGCTCAGCTTGAGGAAGGGAAGGCCGAAGACTTCCTGGGATTCAGAGAGAGAGCTTGAAAGCTACCCCGTCTTGAGGTGACTGGAAAGGAAAGGCGAAGCTGGAGGTTGGGGCTTGGCGCGGGCGCTCCAGGACAGCAGGAAGAGATTGAAGAAAGGAGCCAGGCGGGGGAGTGCAGAAACCTCAGGACTCTGCGCTCCCACCAGCAGTATAGAAGCGTTCCTTTTTCTCCACATCCTTGCCAGCATCGGTTGTTGTTTGTTTTATTAATGATGGGCATTCTTACAGGGGTGAGGTGGTATCTCAATGTGGTTTTGATTTGCATTTCTCTGATGATGACTGAGGCTGAGCACTTTTTCA